GTCGTTGATGTCTTTACGACAATCTATGAAGACAATACAACATGCATCAAACATCTTAAGAAGGGTTACATCAAAGGAGACAACACCAAGCACATTGCACCAAAGTTCTTCTTCTCGCATCAACAACAAGAGCATCAGAAGATTAAAGTCACGCAAATCCGTTCACAAGACAATATGGTTGACCTCTTCACCAAATCACTATCGAAGACAACGTTTTAGAAACTTGTTCAAGAAATAGGTATGCGTAAACTTTCTGAGTTGTAACATTGCTAGTTCTTTTTGGAATTGTGTCAAACTCAGGGAAGTATTTTGAAGTATACTTGCTTGATCTTAATGTACTCTTTTTCCTACGATTAGGAGCATTTTTCCCACTGGGTTTTTGCTACCTTACTAGGTTTTAACTAGGCACTCACCTTTGGCTGATCATATCCCTGATGACGTCCCTTGACATTTCTTTTGACTTTGCATTGCTCATGCATTTTTCCTTAGACTATGGATTTTGTCCCTACTCGGGTTTTTGCCATAGCCTTAGTTTTTTTTTTTTTTATGTGAGATTTACCTCAACTTCTACATGATGCTGAATCTTCCTTGAGTATCTACACACTCAAGGGGGAGTGTTGTAAACTTCCTATTAAAGTGTGATTGTGTAAATCCTAGATTAGATTTGATTCTAGTTATCCTTTCCTATTATGACTTGTATTCCTTGCGGATGAAGGATTTCCTCTCCCTTATTATCATAAATAAAAGCATTACATAGGAGGGATAACACATACATTCCCCTACAATTTTACAAACACATTTCTCTCTCAATCTTTCTCCTTGCCGCCGGCCCCTTTCCCTTATCAGATAAAATAGGCTACAACAATGAGAATGATAGATTTTGCTTGATCGGCCAATATCCAAAGCCCTAACAATTGTCCAAGAGATGAGACGATGTTCTTTGGATTCCCGATTTCCAACTGCCTAAGTATATAGTTGACCTAAATTAAAAGGTTGAGGATTATCTATTAGGGTTGAAAATTAAAATAAAAGAAAACTAATAAAAATGGCTTGAAAATTTTGAGTTCTAATTAAAATGACAAAAATGTGTTGTAAGTAAATAGTATTATAAGTGACTTTTTAAAGTAAAAATATTCTTAACGTTAAAAATGAATAGTACCATAAGTGTTTCGTTAAGACTCCCTTAAAATAATTGGGTTTTAGATCGAAAACCATGGCAGTGATCACCGTGAGTCCACCCCCATGCAAAGTTTAATTTAGAGAGTTTTAACGAAAAGCTCACGGTACAGTTCACTTTAACGAAAAATCATATTTTTACATTAAAAAATCAATCCTAGTACTATTCACTTTACCCTTTATTTTGTCCTTATCGTTAAAATTTAAAGTTTTCAAATTCTTTTCATTAGTTTTTCTTTTAATTTATGGTGCTTTGGTTCGGAACCCCAGTTAAAACTTGAACCTTCCTTCCTGCCCACGTGCGTGCATTCGGTCGCCTCGCAAATTTTTGCATGGGATGCAATGCAAGTGTAAGTTTGGATTGGTCATGTCGCCACGTGTAATGTGCTGAAGCGGCCACGTGGTGATGCCCTCGGATCCCTTTTCTGGACTAAATGATACGGGGGAACCATAACAAGTAGATCTGTGACTGTCTCACCAAGAAAGCAAAACGTAAACCATTTCTTCACGACTTTCTCACTTACATCGCAGGAATACACCTGTACGGTGTATTTAGTGCAAAACGAAATTAAAAAAAATGTATAATTTTTTGTTTTATATATTCTTATTTTTATTGGAATTATACACCATGTACAAGTGTAGTCATGCTATGTAAGTTATTTTCTATATCATCACACTCAACAGAAGGTTATTTTGCACCCTTAAGAGAGTATTTCCCTATCCAATTACGTTAAATTATTTTTTTGAATTATCAATAACAACTTAGAAGAAAACTAAGCTAACTACTAGAGAATAATATTGTGTGCTACTGAGTTTGGATATAAGCATTGGTGAAGCGGTAACATAATTACACGCAACCAATTTATCGTTATCGTGATATTTTAGTCTAGTAGTAAAATATTATGTATACACTTGTTATTGTGGTGTTTCAATCCAATAGTACAATGTTATGGTACCTTTTTTTTTTCTATATAACATTGAATTTTTTTAATTAAAACTACCCAAAAATCAAACTTTTGTCCAAAATATATATATGAAGAAAACAAATTAAATGGAAAGGGAGCCAACCCTAGTCCGCTACTAGATATTTACTCAAGAACATGTAATGATTCATAGGGAGCTTTGGTAAAGGAAGCTCTACATAATCAGTCCATTTTTATCGTTAGCATTTAATGAACAAAAATATAAATACAAAACTTTAACTTCTAGACATTACTAAAAGAAGAATTACAATATCTTGTGGGCAATGGACTTATTTTATTACATGCTATTTGTCATGCATGGATATAATGCTTTTCTACAAGAGGGTTATATTATATGATATGAATTCACATCATTTGCTTTCCCTATCAATCCCATCAAGGATTTCTCTATCAATCCCTATTTGGTAGGAAATAACTTGTGGTAGCGTGTACGTGTGTGAATTTATAAATCTACTTCAAAAAGACAATGCATAAAATGATATATAAAAACAACATACTTGTCATGAAAGAAAAATGATACAGTTAGGGTTAGAAACAAGTTAATGTTTGAAAAATTCTAGCCGCTCTCTCCTCTCTCCTTCCTCTTACCAAACCCTAAATCTATAACATAGTTGTCGGTTCCTTGTTCCGGCTTGAGGCCGGTGGCATCATTTCTCTCCCCATTTTTCTAGCCTTTCTCCTTTTTTTTTTCTCATGAATTGTTGTGCATCTATTTTTCATCTTATTATTTTCGTCAATAAGTGCCTCATTGGTGAGGTTATTTGTGAGTCTTTCTTAGTGAGTATTTGGCTTTTGTATTGGTGTGTTATCGGCTCCTACTAGGGCTAATTTGTTTAAAACGGTGCCTTTACTGATGGTGCTGCTCACAAAATTCATGTTGGTATGGACACTAGTTGGTCGTTGTCAGTTCTACTTTGAAGTTGGTGTTGCTCATTGTCAAAGAGTATCTTCATATTCATTATATTCAAGGTTTTGTGCACAGAAGTTCTCACATGCTATTCATAAATTGCTTGACCCTTTCATAAATAATGGAGTTTCTTTGGCTTTGGAGTGTCATTTCAGTCCTCTAAGTTTATGTGTGGATGATTTCAGAACTTGGATGCATTCCTTTACTTATTCTCATGCCTCTCTCGCCCTTAAATCCACTAGTACGGTGACAACTAGTTTGACCAAGTTGGCATTTTATGTTTTGTTAAAGTTTCTGAATTGAGAACATTTTGGATGGTATCTCGAATGTCCTCTGTGTATTTATATTAGTCTTAAATAAGGTCTAAAATATCGATATTTTCATCGAAATTTTCGTGTTTTTGGACTACCGATATTTCCGATATCATTGATATTTTAGACCTTGATAGAAACTCTATGTGGTACTAAGTCACTCATGTATCTTACCATGCAATGTATAAAGTGTAAAATATTGTACTAATTCATTATATATAAATTATGGTGTGTCTAAACTTCTTTCATTAATTACTACATATTTTCTACACTCACAATATTTGTCAGCTCGCTATATAATCAACTTAAATCAGTTAAATCCATCATGCAATGCATTTCCTTCCAATTTTTTGTGATAAACTAATAGATAATTGACTAAATAAACATCTTGCAAAGTTTCAATAAAAATTTCCAAGTTTTTCTTACAATTTCTATGGTTTTTATTCAATTTTTATCGATATCGATAATATCTCAATATTTCCATCGAAATTTCTATGTTTTTGGACTATCGATATTTCCGATATCATCGATATTTTAGACCTTGGTCTTAAAATTATAATATAAAAAACAAACGTTTCGTATCAAAAAAATAAAAATAAAAATACCAATAGTGTTAAAAAAATTGAGATATGAAATAATATTCCGGGTGTCTCTAATGAAAAAAAAATGTATTCACTTTATAATCATGTGGTATTTTGATCGGAATAAATCTAGATTTACGTTTTTTTGATTTAGTGGACCATAAACGAGAATTAGTGAGAAAAATATAATAGTTAATACTACTCACATTTACATGTTTTATTTTCTTACTCAATACGAGCTTGAGATGTGATTATTAGTCTCTTGAATTAAACAAAATGTGATCATTTCAGACACAAAAGAAAAAATTGAATATTTTAGCTCAACATAATTTTTTTTATAATGATTATTTTAATTTTGAATAATGCTTGTGCCCGAACATCACAATTGAAACATTTGATGTTCCTCACTTACAATTAACAAATTTTTACCGTCTGAATATCATAATTAAAATTGTTCATTATTTTTATTATCATCTAAAAAATTATTTATTGTCCAAATATCATAATCGAAACCGTTTATTCTCTTTATTATTATCTAAAGATCATATTGCAAGAATCATTTAATTTGGAGATCGTTTAGTCATTCATGAGTATTGAACTAATCAACGTTTTTTTGTAACAATTAGCATCATCATGATATAAATATAAGTAGCGATTGGGGTTTGCTACACACTATCACATATGGGTGTACACTACTAACTCAAAGGCTCGGGTCGTGCTTTGATGTAACCTCAAAATTGAAGTGATAATGAATCTCTCTGCATTTTGACTTAATTTTTCATTGAATAACTTTAATATTATATTTAATTACAAGCCCAAGATACAAGTCTTAAAACTAGTATCCTTATGATAAATCGTTTATTTGTTTTGCACATATCAATGACTCCCTTTAAATCACAACGTCTATTTTTGTTAACGACGTGGTGCATTAGCTGTCCATGTCATCAACCTCGAAATCTCAGGAGTAAGATACGTAGTTGACCGTAGAAATACATACATGGAAAATACCTAAAATACCTCCTCTGTACATGTCTGTGTGCTTGTGTGCATCTCTGTCTGTGTCTCAGTCTCTCTGTCTCTAACTCTTACTCTCTCTCTCTCTCTCTCTCTCTCTCTCTCTACTTCCTACCCATTTCACAGTACACCCACATTGCGCACACACCAGAAGACCCTTACTTTCTCTTTCTAAATGGCTGAATCTCACTCGAGAAGATGAAGATACCCAGCAAGCCCCGGCACCTCTCGCCAACGTTCCCACCGCCGGACTCGGATCTTCACCTCCACAGACCCCCCACCACCCGTAAGAAGACCCGGGCACCCGGTTCGGCCAGGTTGAAGCGGGCCGGACTTCCGACCGGAAAGCGGAGCCGACCGGAGACGCCTTTGCTCAAGTGGAAGATTGACGAAGGCCCAAAAGAGCGCCAGGGACATCGGGAGAGGCGAAAGGACCAAAATGCCCGTGAGGAGGAAAGAGAGGACGGAGTGAGGAGAAAGGGCAGGAAGGGAAGAGAGGCCCCCTTGTCGGCCAGGAAGCTTGCGGCTGGTCTGTGGCGGCTACAGTTACCGGAGACGGGTTCCAGTGTACCTGGACGTAATGGGAAGCTAGGGTTTCAGGTGAGCTTGGTCTCAAAGATCTGTAATTTTATGGTCAAATGGGTCTTCTTTGCAACCTCGGTTGAATCGCATTTGATTGGAGGTTGACCTTTTTATGTTAAAAAAAAGTTGTTTAATTTTCTCGTTAATTCATTGGAAGATGTTAAATCTGGTGTTATTTTGGTTTGATAAATACTAATGTTGGTGTTGATATCTATGGTACTGTTGTTGTCTTTGTGTTTCGTTTCGATTTTTCGAAATGAGGCTTAAGAAACCAGGCGTTGTGATTTCAACTCTGATCGATCTTACTGAGAAAATGTGTTCTTAAATTAGCATGAAATCTTTACTAATGCGGTAATGCTTGTAAGTTTCCATCAATTTCCTGCTAAGTATCTCTTATTTTGGTAATTAATTGACCGTTGATATCTTTCATTCGTCCTGTATTGTTTTCTTAATTAAAACTAGTGGTGTCATGTTTATCTGAATGTATTAACATGGAACTGTGATATGCAAGATATGATGGTAACGGCATTTATGCAATGCTTTGATGATTTCTGAAAATTCTGGGTCATTACGCTTTCCTTTATTGTGTTCTGGGATCCCCGGGTCCTTGCGTGCTGTTTTAATACATCTTATCATATCATGCCTTACCCTCAACCAGCCAGTATTAATGATGTTGTATTCTCTGGAGCTTGATATTCATTGCTGTTGTCTTCTTTGCAGCCTGACGTTGGCCATATTGGGGTACCATTTCTCCGTAATCGTAACAGCAAAGGATATGCTTCTGAAGCAAATGATCTTTTACAAAGCCCTAGGTCCACCTCAAGGAATGGGTTCTTGTCCAAGGTACAGCTCTTCCTTAAATTCATACAATGACCTGTAAATTCTGAATGAACATCTTTTATGAACTTAAGTACAATACGATACAGATTTTTTTTTTATTTTTTTAAAAGCAAGTATAATAAGATACCTTCATCGTCTTGTGCATGTGTCACACATGCCGAGCAGTCCTTTAAGGCAAGCTATTTGGCATGAACCTTGGCAGATGATTTGCTTTGCAAGGATTGGTGTTATGCATACTCATTAAGAATCGTCGGTTTTGGAAGAAAAATAGATGTTTCATCAAGTAGTCATCTGTTTTGCTGTCCTCAGAAATTGAATATTATGTTATAAGGTTAAAGCAGTGTTACTCTTAGGATTTCTCATGGGTGAATTTAAATATTTAATTTGAATTACTCATATACGCTACGAAATAGACAGTAATGATCATATTTGGATGAAAAATAAAGTAGAAATTTGGTGTAAATGGGACGTATAGTTAATTCTTTAATTGGATTAAAAGATATAGCTGTCTAAAAAGCAGCATTAGCAATCCCAGAAAGCTCTAGCGAACAGATGGAAATTTGTGAGAGGGAGAATCATGAGGTAATTTCAGATTATGCAACAACCAAGGCTTGGCCGTTTTCCAAATAAAGAGAAAAGGCTACAATATGAAAATTTGTTATTATATGCATATGTACATGTACGGATTGTTGGAACAAATATGGAATGCTGAAATGCTTTCAGGTGCAGCTTAGCTGGCTAAGAAACATGTCACTTGTATATTTTCTCTGAAATTATATAACATACAGTCTTGTCCTTTTAACTTTTTCTTCTTTAAATTTGTTTCTCAACATCAATTTTCCCCGAAGCAGTTTAAGGTCTGTTTTTCCTGTGGTATTACCTCTAATTTTAGCTTCAACCTTCATTTCAGTTATCCAACTCTGTCATGGAGGGGCAAACAAAATGGGATCCAGTCTGCTTGAAAACATCGGATGAGATACGGCAAATTTACAGCCAAATGAAGCTTCTTGACCAACAAGTGAGTGCTGTATCAGTTGTATCTGTACTTGAAGCTGAGCTAGAGCAGGCACGAGCTCGCATTCAGGAGCTTGAGATGGAACGGTGTTCCTCAAAAAAGAAACTTGAGCACTTCTTAAGGAATGTCAGTGAGGAAAGAGTTTCATGGAGGAGCCGAGAGCATGAGAAAGTCCGCGCATTTATTGATGATATCAAGTCTGAATTGAACCGGGAAAGGAAGAGTCGCCAGAGAACTGAGATACTCAATTCCAAATTGGTTAATGAGCTTGCTGATGTCAAGTTATCAGCAAAGCGATACATGCAGGAGTACGAGAAAGAAAGAAAGGCCAGAGAATTGATTGAGGAAGTTTGTGATGAGCTTGCTAAGGAAATTGGAGAAGACAAAGCTGAAGTTGAAGCACTGAAGAGAGAATCCATGAAACTCAGAGAGGAAGTGGACGAGGAAAGGAAGATGTTGCAGATGGCAGAAGTCTGGCGTGAGGAACGTGTCCAAATGAAGCTGGTTGATGCAAAGGTGGCAGTTGAGGAGAAGTATTCTCTGATGAACAAGATTGTGGCAGATCTGGAGAATTTTCTGACGTCAAGAAGTGCAACGCCAGATGTGAAGGAAATGAGAGAAGTAGAATATCTGCGACAGGCTGCTGCTGCTGTAAATATTCAAGACATCAAGGACTTTTTTTATGAACCCCCCAATCCTGATGATATCTTTTCTGTGTTCGAAGAAGTTAATTTCGGTGAGCCTAATGAGAGGGAGATTGAGCAGTGTGTTGCTTACAGTCCTGCTAGCCATGGTTCAAAAATTCGTACGGTGAGTCCTGAAGGCAATGGAATCATTAAGGACCGGATCCAGAGACATCCAGTTGCATTTGTTGGTCATAATGGTGATATAGAAGAAGATGAGAGTGGTTGGGAAACTGTGAGCCATCTCGAGGATCAGGGCTCAAGCTATTCGCCAGACGGGAGTGCCCCATCTGTCAATAAGAATCGCCGAGAGAGTAATGTCTCAGAGAGTGGAACAGAATGGGAAGAAGAAGTTGAGGGAACACCAATTACTGAAATCAGCGAGGTTTGCTCGGTACCAACAAAGCAGACGAAGAAGGTATCATCAATAGCAAGGCTTTGGAGGTCTGGCCAAAACAACGGGGAAAACTACAAGATAATCTCGCTAGAGGGAATACACGGTAGGCTTTCGAATGGAAGGATATCCACTAGGGGTCTGGTATCCCCTGATCGGGGTTCGGGTAAAGGCGGGCTTAGCCCCTCTGATTTAGTGGGGCAGTGGAATTCTCCTGAGACGGGGCATCACATTCGGGGTATGAAAGGGTGCATTCCACTGGGCGCCCAGAAGCATAGTTTGAAGGCAAAGCTTTTGGAGGCAAGGTTGGACAGTCATAAGGTCCAACTGCGTCATGTGCTTAAACAGAAGATCTAGTAGTGAGGCAGAGTTTGCTCATAAAACGAAACTGATAAACCCAGGCAAGAATAAGTAGTTCCATTTCTCACCGCGCAAGGTACAACTTCCTGCCACTAGGAAATGCTCTAAGGCGGTCGCAAGGAGTCTCTGAATAAAATGCAGATGATCATGGACTCCCACGTTTGGTTTCGGGGGTCTTTGCAAGCGATTCAGAAAGCGCGAGTCATTATTTGTATCATTTCAAGTACAGAGGACACCATTTGTTGAAAATGGTAGACGAAGAACGATAACATTTCCTCCGTCTGTAATATGATGTATTTTGTTATGAGAAATGTTTCATTTTAGTTTCTTATAGGAAATGGCAAATCTGTGGTCCAAAACTTATCTTTCCCTTAATCAGAACCGGAAAAGAAGAAAAAAAAGCAGATGTTAGAAAATTTCAAATTAAGAAGCGGGATTTTCAACGGTACTTGGAGTATCTCATGCTTCGGAGCACTCTAGAATAATGTAGAATTTGTTGAAAATCTATGAAATTTTGGAAACCTGTGGGGTCGGTACGAGGTGATGGGGAAGATCGTACGTGAAGCCAGAAGAGATCAACTGAGTGAAATGGTGTTACATTGTTACCGTTAGATTTTAGATTGGTCCCCGGCGTTGTGGTCCCGCTCCGAAGTCCCATGTCCGGTCCCGAGTGCCGGATCTAGGATCTTAGATTTGGGTTTCAGGTGCCAAGTAGTTGGATTAACTGATCACATGATTCACATTCTCGTCACTTCGACACCAAATTAACCACACCTATCAGGTGACTTAACTCAAATTTTCTTCTTTTTAATGTAAATATATCTTACAAAATTGCAGAGATGAGATTATTTTATACTGTTCATATTCTTTTCTAATACCAGTTGACTGGATTTAATAAATTAAAAAAAAAAAAAAGAACATGTGTAAATAGAAGTGTGTAGAAGGAGAAAAAGAACAAGCGAAAAATAATTGGAAATTGGTAGAAACTCGAGAGACAATCAACCATATAAAATGAAGAGGACTCAAATAATAAATAAAGTAAGGATAATGGCTGATACAACAGGTTGCATGAGACCCCATAAAATGATATGGGAAACCCACCACAAGTCTAGTTTTCCTTGTTTTTCTTCCTTTTGACGGTACAATACTACAATACAGCATTTCGAGACTGAATATTATCACACGGTGGCCCTTCGACAGCCCTACGTTGTACTTATTTGACACAGCATGAAACAAATGAGTGGATAGCGATTCTGTTATCTGTATTCTTGAAAGTTGACATGCCCTGTCGCCCGTGCATGCTCCACAGCCTCCTGAATATATACATAGAAGATTATTCGGTAACATAAGAACTTAAGAAATTTCATGTGCACAACCACACACGGTAAGAAACACCAAGGAGGCAAGGCAAACAGAATTTGTATTGTGGGGAACTAACCTTCTGGCCGACCAGTCCAAGTTGGCACACCCCACAGCGCAAAGTGAAGTTGGCAGTGTCCGTGTATCTCCTCTTACTGCAAAGACGTATCATGGTATTAAGGTATGCTCATGTATTAAGAGTTAATGCAGATACATATGCATATATCTCAGCTACATACGTAGTAGGAGCAATGGAAAAATGGACACCTAACAGGATGATGCACTCAATCATTGTAACCAAGATAGTTACGCGAAACACACATTACCTCAAGAATTTTGACAATTTAGCCACACAAACTTAATATTTTTATTCCCTTTTTTTTTTTTTGGTAGGGTACGAATTGAAAGCATAACGTACAGGCAACACACATTTGGCATTTGTCATAAAGTTCTTAATCATCTGAAGTTGACAACAAATTTATTCATTATAATTTAATGTTACTGTTAGTACAATACAGGTTCCACTGGTATGTCCTCAACACATAGAGATCCGGAAAATTGAAGACACTGTATTTGTAGTAAATTTGAAAACAATTGCTCAAGTTGTATAGGTTTGTAACTAGGTTGTGTAGGGAACTAGGAAACTTTGTCACACAGACTTACAATCTTAGCGTGAAATGTCAGAAAGGAGTCCCTAATTCAGATACTATGTATATGGTAACATCCGAATATGCTAGTCACAGACTAAAACCCCAAGGGATATGTATAATGATTTAACATATTATGTGTCATAGTTTTTGTGCGTGTGCACTGAAATTAGAAGCCATCATGAAAGTAATACCTTTGTTGCTCTTTGACAAGGTTAAGAGCGAGCCCCTCAACTGGCCCAATGGAACTGTTATGGACTGCAAATATTGTCTGATCAAACTCCTCTGGAGCTCCCTCGAAGGGAGACATCTGATACAACAGAATAAAGAATTCAGCCATCATTTAAGTGGAAAAATCAAGTGCAACCTCCATCACGAACGGGGGATAGCAAAAACAGTGAACCAAATAAGAAGCATGCTAGGTGAATAAACAGACTGTAATTACCAAATGCACAACAAAGACCACTTATTCTTGAATAAGTAAAAACTATCCCACAGAAGTATAAAAATTTGCCCAGCTCATGGTTGGCTTTTCTTCCCCTCTCCCCCTCCCAGTTTTTTACATGCTCAAACCCATACAAGAGAACAGAAGAGTAAATCATCTGGTTCGTACAGTTGGCAAGATGTCTCATGAGGGAAGAATATTTATTTTGTGTTTGGATAAGGTATTACCAAGTACCAAGGGATTTAGGCATACATTAGCAAGAAATGCACAACAGAACAATAGATCAATGGATTTGAAATGACTAGACGCAATGCACTTAGAGGGATTTGTAAATGACTACTTGAAAGAGTCATTTGAAAATCCTTTGTTTAGCCATTTAGTGGCTTCATAATGCTCATGTTACATGTGGTGCATTTTCGATCCCTCTGCTCTATCTAATGTTTTGTAGTGCATTTCCACCTACTTTAGCCTAAATCCCTGTCCTTGGAAATCCCTCAGCCAACCACATCATTAACTCCAACTTGATGCCATATCGAAGCCACTTGTTAACGGTCCATCCACATTGACAACCAGAAAAATTCGTAAACAGAAAATTAACAAAAAATAATCAGAGCCACATACAGCTAAAGCATCGTAATGAAGTCCATCATAGATCAACATAACCCTTTCTGAATACTTCTTCTCCTGTAAAACAGCACCGCATACAAAAATGGGCATAAACATTCAGAAATGGTAAGTGGGCAAAATTAATATACATGAGAATTCGCTGCAAATGCTAACCTGACCATACAAATCACAACGTGTAGTCTGGATATCATACGCTGCGATTTCACGTCCATAATAATCTGCTAATATAGATAGCTCTATGGCACCTGCACACAAGATTGCAAATTAACAGTGTGCAAAACAAATCTAATAGTATCCCAGTTATTGATAGGGACAGAGACCTCAACGAAGGAAAAGAAAGATTTGAACTTTATCTTATAGACAAGTGGCCGCACAAACTATTTCTTGAACATTCAAGACGCAAAACTTCTGTCAAATATGAAATTCAATAATCCTCAATACCCTAGAAGAAGATCTAAGTCAGTCATGTACAATTAAGGTTTGGCTACTTAGTTGTGTATAAGAAATAACCAAACTATTATGAGAAAAACTTTTTATTGTGCATTTTGTTTGGTAACCAAGATTCAGATGCATAAGAACAGGAAGTTTTCTTAACAAACCTCCCCACTTCTCTGAGTCAAGAATCCAAGCACAATACTCTTCGTTCGATTTACCAAGAAATGCTTCAGAATACTTAGTTGGATCACTTGCTACCGTTGCAGCTATAACCTTCACATTGTGGATGATCACAAAATGTAAGTATCAGAGAGTGATCAGTAAGTATCGCACTTATGCATGCTCAATGCAAATCGGGGGCTATATATGCACAAGCACCCATGATTTATCTATTGTTGCATGCTTTTAAGCCTTGAATGTTCATATACCTGTCTCAATTCAGGAGCTTTTTTCTGGTCATGATCCATCACATACCTGTAAACGAAGGGCAACAATTGAACAGAAAATTCGACCTTAAATGGCGCAGTTCACTTCATTGCAATGGACAATGGATAAAATAGAGGGCTGTACTGGAGCTCACCCGACCGCATTGAAGAGGCAACTATTGTCTGAGGGAATAACCCTTCTTACTACGATACCTTCCATATTGTAAATTATTTATACACCTGAAGCATTATAACAAAATGAAATTTCGAACAGTGATGGTTTTATCTATCCAATTACATGTTTAAGAACATTTACTCAAGAAACAAGGACACGAAAAGCATTAAACTGCGTAGAAACGGTTCATTCAAAGAACGAACCTTTTGAGATAATAATGGAAAACGGAACAAAGATTATTACAAATACATACAAAAATTAGGATTCCATTCAAACTAAGCATCGACAGAGACATAAAAGACATTTTATGTTAAGACTGCATCCTAAACTTAAATAAGAGACAATACGAAAAGGCGGCCGAGGAATTGAACAAAACCCAGCTTCCCATACTCAGTTGATGATGACCAACCAGATTCAATTACTGGCAGCAGTCCATGATTGAACACATAAATGTAAAAAGGAACAAATATAGTGAACAGAAACAAAATTTACAAACTTTTACAAATTTTAATGAGGAAATAAATCTACAAAAAAGAATCAGATAATCCAAGCTCATATCACTTTCTTCAAGGAGATAATTATCTCCAAAGCCTACCCGCAAAATTACCCAGTTATATGAAAAAATAAAAATATATATCTCTATGTATGTATTCCTCCAATAAATCAGAATATAATTCCAGAAACGAGACCAACCTTCGGATTCTGAAACAAAGTGATATAACAAATCCAGCTTGAAATCAACAAACCCAAAAGCAGAAATGATAGGAACTTGATAAATAAATGCAAAAGAAAAAAAGAAAGAAATTTCCAGATCTAGTAATGGTACCAAGAGTAGCTTTACAGTAAAGAAATTGGAGGAGACAAAAACAGAAAATAATGAGGACCCATTTGCATAATCAAATAAATATAAATGTCCAACAAACAAAGGAACACAAAGAAAAAAAAAAAAAAAAAAGGAGAAAAGAAACCCACTCTGGTCTATTAATAATTTGGTATGAAGGGGGTGTCGTGTCGTGGCTTTTCTCCTGGTTTTGGGTACGGCACTGTGTTTTGTTGACACAATTTAAAAGGCGGGCGCCGAACGTAACTTTTTGATGTTTTTCTTTTCTTTTTTCTCTTTATCCTTTGGGAGGGTGGTGAAGGTGGGATTAGGAATTACAACAAAGTGCGGACGAAGACATATTGCCACTAGTGTGGGGTCCAACCCAAACGGAATATCATAATGCTTAATTTTATTTATTTAAAG